GTAGGTCCTCTGTATCCTCATTTTATGAATGAATAAGGAGCTCTGATGGCATAGGCTGTAGGGAGTTGTGCTGCTAAACCACAGGTAGGTGGTTCGAATCTACCCGCAGCTTCACTGGAGAAAGATGTCCAGACTCCTCCCAAGAACTTTGTTGTTATGTGCTGTCAAGTTGTCTGAAACTCATAGCAACCTGATGTACAATAGCTCTGAACACTGCCTATCCTGATTGGAATGCCAACCTCATTGTCTCCAACAGACCAATCCCATTTCTCCAATCACTGAGTCAATCCATCTCATCTTGGATCTTCCTCTCTGGATCTTCTTCTCCTGTGCTGTCCCTTCAACCTTCCAAGCATGATGTTCTTCTCCAAGGACTGGTACCTCCCAGCCCCATGCCCAAAGTATGACACAGAGCTTCAAAATTCTTGTCTCCAGGGAACAGCCTGGTTTCACCCTCTCCAGGACTGACCTATTTGTTCTCCTGACAGTCAGTGGTATGTATGTTCAACACTCTTCTCCAGCACCACAGCTCAAAGACACCAATTAATCTATTGTCCTTAGTCATTATCCAACTTACTGATGCACAACAAGTAATTGCAAAGGCCATGGCCAGGATCAAGGCACACCTTAGTTTCCACACTGACATCATTGTTATTCAGTACTCTAGCGAGCAGACTTTCTCAATGTAATTCATCTTTTGATTTTCTGACTGTTGGTGCCAAGAGTACTGATATGGAACCTAGCAAGCTGAAGTTGTTAATAATCTCAATCTCTTCTCCATCTGTCATGAAGCTGCCAACTGGCCCAGTGGTGAGAATCTTTGTCTTCTTGATGTTGAGCTTCAGTTCAATCCATTTTGAAGATTATAGTCCTTGACCCTCTGCAGGAAGCACTTCAGCTCCTTAGTTTCACAGGGAAGGTTGTGCCATCTGCATAACACAAGTTGTTGTTGATGAGCTTTCCTCCAATCCTGTTGCCACACTCCTCTTCATAAAGTCTAGTTTCCTGAATGATCTGCTCTGCATATAGATTGAAAAGGTATGGGGATAGGATGTATCTTTGATGCAAACCTTTCCTGATCCTGAACCATGTAATAGTTCCCTGATTTGTTCTGACTATTGTTTCCAGGTCCAAGTATAGGTTTCGCATGAACACAATTAAGTGTTCTGGGAGTCCCATCTTCCTCAAGGTGAGCCCCAATTTGTCGTCATCCACACAGTCAAATGCCTTGCATAGTCAATGAGACACAGACAGTCCTCTGGTACCAAACAATTCACAGCCTCCAAAAACTGGTTCTGGATTGACAGCTATGAGAAAGAGAGGGGATTATAGATGAGGCAATTAGGAGTACAAAGAGGTTAGGGAAATGGCAATGTCAGGATACTAGTATAGAACTCTCACCATTAAATATTCAAGTATGGGATCCAAGATGGTGGTGGAGGTGGAGACAATGTGGTGAGCTGTGGGAGCAGCGGACCACTTGGAGGAGGGCCACTATGACCTTCTACAGACCTCTATTGGTAATTGAACAGTTAAACAGTTGATGACTGGTCTTCAGTGAGGATCGAGGCTCAACAACAGGAATTCAAGGATTCCCAAGGAGGAATGGGTGAGTTCCGCAGCTCCCAGCCCCCTGCTGCTGAGCCCACACTGCTCCCACCACTGGACCGCAGGGATTCCCTCACCCAAGATGGATGGTAGGCACCAGGCCTCCCTGAGACTGGTGCAGCAGAGCCGCCACACTGCCGCAAGGTGGACTTGTTCTGGGGAGAATTCTTGGAGCCAAGATGGCCGGCGGTAGGAGACGCAGCCGCCTGCAGGTTTGGGTTTCCTTGGACAGGCCAGAGAAGAAGATCACCAATAACAATGGATTGATAAAAGTCACTGTGAGTTGTCTACTTGATGACATTTAACAGTGGCCACATGTCCAAGAGGACCGATATCCTAAATGCACCACATATTTTGATCTGTTGAAAGCTTCTGCCAAAAACTGTTTAGACCTGGGTGGAGTCTGTTCACAACTCTCTGGTTCCCTTTGCCATTTATAAAGGGGGAGGGCAGTGACACCTACTTCAAATTACAGTATGACCACTTATGGGGGGGGGTGTAAAAGTAGCGGTACTGGAATTGGGAACGCTGTCCCTGGCCACGTAGTCTTTGGTCAGGTGAGGGGTCCAGCCTGGGGTGGGGGCAATTGGTGGGGGAGTGTGCCAGCCAGCCCCTGAGGGGTGTTGCCCTGCTTGGGGCATGCCATCTTCAGCCCCCGGCCCAGGGCGCGCTGTCTCGGCCCCCAGCTCGGGTGAGCCATCACGGCCCCCAGCTCGAGGCACGCTGTATTCGGCCCCCTTCTTGGGGTGCGCCATCTTGGCCCCCAGCTCAGGGCACGCCATCTTCGGCCCCAGGCTCTGGGCAAGCCGTCTTCAGCACCCGGCTTTGGCCCTCGGCTTGGGACGAGCCGCCATGGCCCTCAAAGTGAGCTCTTCAGTTGCCAGGTTGTGCCATCTGACTCCTGGGTAGAAAAAAATGCCTAGGGTATTCAGAGAATTTTATCTAGGCTACTTTCTGCCACCCTCTGCCCCATTAAACCTGAAAGTAACACCCCCAAAGCCCTTCTATTTGTAACTCACAAGTTTGTTCTCTCTAGGTTTGCTCCCTTTCCTATAGGTAACCTTAACACTGAGTTTTACTCCAGACCTGACCCTGAACCCAGTTCCAGTGACAAAAAGGAAACACAGCTGCCAGCTAAGGAAGCAAAGGAGGATGGAGCCTCTGGGTTCAATCAGCCATCCCCACTGGACCCACCTGGGAAAACACTTTGCAGTCCAGAGGGGAGTAAATGTCAGGAAAATATATTCTAACAGAACAAGAAGGCAAGCAGTTTTAACCCAAGAACACCAGTAAGGTGATAAAGTGTCCTCCCTTTCCCCCTTCACATCAATGCCCCTGTTCAGCATGAAGAAGCCAGAGAGTCTGTGTCCAGTTCCCAAATCAATAAGACAGTTGGTTCAATCACCATTGGACTATGCTTACCATTCATTCCCCTGTAGCATCTGTTCCACACCGAATCCTTTTCATTTCCTTCACCTGCTCCTCCCACCAACCAAATTGTGCAGCTCTGCAACTGCACCCCTGCAATTTTCATCCCTGCCCATCCTCACCCTTCTGTCCCCAACATGGTTTTCCCAATAAAATTAAAAAAGAAAAAAAAATATTCAAGTATGTTGCCACCTCCTTGAAAATAGTGTGTGGCCTTCCAAACTTGTAGCACAGAGACTTGCTCAGCCCACTTCCTGTTGTGATCCATACACACTTCACAGTTTGAGCCCTGTGTGCTGGCCTGGGCTGCGAGGGAGCACTGGGCAGTGTCTCTCAGGGGTGTCCTCACCTGCAATTCGTGACACGAGTGGATGCTGTCATAGCATCTGTGAGACCACATCAGCTTTTTGTCTCTTCTGCCCATGACGGAGTCAGTCACACTTTTACGTAGGAAACTTTTCAGATGTTAAGCTCTTTATCCAGGGCTAATTTTATATTATGTTAAATCACTTGGTTTTGTTCTCATGGCTTCCTGCTTGCCATAGGCATAATTATGAGGAAGTAGAAGTTCTTTAGAAGCAAGTGCACATGTATTCCAAATTAAGCACAGATTCACTCTAACTACAGGAAAAGACCCGAGGCTTTAATTAAGGGGTTAAATGCAATCCAGAGCGCTTTTGGGGGCACTGATTGCGTCACTGGATGAGTGTGAGGAAAGGTGGGTATGACTTTTGACGTGTATATATACCGAAAAAACAGAGCAGGAGGTTGAGCTCAAAATCCCCAACCTGCAGCCCCCAAAGAAGAGACACGAATTCTCAGAACAGCGTTTCCGAAACACCAAGGCCAAGATCGTGTTCCGAAGTGGAGCAGGAGAGCCGCACCCCTGGCCGCAGAATGCTGCCGACCCTCTACCTCCTGCTGCTGCTGCTTCAAGGGGCTGTGGCCACCGCCACTCTGACCTTGGGGGACAGCCTTCCTGATTCACAGAGCAAGGTGAGTACAGGCCTGGGACAGGCCAGCCCACCCTCTGCCTCCTGCATATGTGGTTACAGTTGTGAACCCACCAGGATCTGTTCATCTGAAAGTTGTGTGTCCATGTGTCCCTGAGACTCCCCCACTGGGATGTCCCCTCTTAGACCACTGAAATTGAAATTGACACTCAAGGGCAGCATCGGCATGCAGGTGGTTTCTACCTGGCCCACTCGGCAGCATGACCATGCGAGCCCACCTCAGTGCCGTCAAGCTGCCCACTGCAGCCACGCCCACGTCTGGAGCCTCGGTTTAGACAGGCAGCTCATGGCCCAGATGAATCACCATCATTACATTCCCATTGTGAGAAATTGTAACTTCATGAGATAATTTATTTCTCTCCTTTTCCTCCCCATTTTGAAAAAGTTCCAAGAAAGTACATAAACTCGACCATTAAAAATGGATTTTTCTCTGAAATTACCCGACGAGTTCCAGACAGGTCGTTTATCACCAGTTTACTCTTAGATGCTTTCGAAGGAATTTGAATGACTAGGCTGTAATATCTCAAGTTAGAGTCTTGAAAATCACTGTCTGAAAGAGAAATGTGTGACTTTCTAAGAGTGTCACCAAAGATGGAAAAGCTTAGCTACACGAGCCTGAGCTGGCCTATGAGACTGCTTGGTGGCCAGTCGCGTGTCAGGGGGAAATGATCCATTTCCTCTTACGTCTTCGAATAAAGGACTTCAATAGGGTTATTTAAGGACAAGACAAGCCAATTCCCCCCTTTCACTGAGAATTGTCACTTGCTGTTTTCTCTCCTCAAAGCATTTTTAAAAGGTGTTCTCTTAACTTTCTTATCCTTTAGATGGAAATAAGCTTTATTGTGTGGAACATCTTCCCGTTAAAAGAAAGAAAAGGGTCTGTGTCTTTTAATGCTGGCTGAACCAGATTGCTGATTTATCTTTCCTTTACCATGTGCTTCTTTTTAAAAGCATCAACAGGAAGTGGCCGAAATGAGGAGGAAAGGACCCTTGACTTTCCTAGCTTGGTGGAACGAGTGGACCTCTCAGGCCGGGCCAGTACCCTTTGGAGATGAGGAGGCCAAAGTGGTGACCAAGCGGCAGGATGGCCCACCCCCTCAACAGGCCACCCGCCAAGAGAAAGCGCCCTGCAAGAATTTCTTCTGGAAGACCTTCTCCTCCTGCAAATGAAACTCAGCTGTGAACACTCATGCTGAGATGTGTAACAATGGACAAAATAAAAGTCATTAAGCAGCAGTGATGTTTCATCTTCACCTTTTTGTTTTTAATGTTGTGAAAGTGTATCTAACAAAATACACCCCATTTCAGCAATTTCTACACGTACACTTCCACGACACTGACTATAATCTTCTAGTTGTACATCCATTCTCACACTCCTAAATCATTCTATCACCTTTAACGTAAACTCCATGTCATTAAGCAAACCTGTCCCCTTCCCCCTCCCTCCCACCGCTGAGAACCACTGATGATCTTCGATTTCTATGTATTTGCTTATTTTATAAACGAGAGAGACTGGGTTCATCCATGTTATGCAGGCCTCAGGACTTCAGTTCTCTGTCGGACTGAGTAATATTTTATTATGTGTAGGTACCACATTTTATTTATGTATCAGCTGAAGGGCATTTTGGTTGTTTCTACCTTCAACCATTGTGAAAATTGCTGCAGTGAGGACTGGGCCAGGAGGCTGTTTGCTGCCGCCTTCACTTCTGGGTTATTCTAGGATTGCGATTATAAAACTCATCTTGTGGATGCTCTCCTCTCTCACATGTAATTTGAAACAAACTTCTAATATAGACACTGATGACATCCAACATTGACTGTCTTGAGTCATTTGAGACCAAAAGTGAACATTTCTTATTCCACTTTTTGTATTTCCATAATTAGTGCAAATGTTTTCCATCGGAAAACTTTCATCTCCCTGTCTTCCTTTCTTTAATTTAAAATAGATAAAGGGGGGCTAGGGCTCCTATGAACATGGTCAACGTTCCCAAAATTCGCTGGACTTATTTGCAAAAAGTGTGGCAAGCACCACAAAGTGACAAAGTACAAGAAAGGCAAAGACTCTGTGTATGCCCAGGGAAAGCGGCGTTATGACAGGGAGCAGAGTGGCTATGGTGGGCAGACCAAGCCAATTTTTCCGAAAAAGGAGGAAACTACAAAGAAGATTGTGTTAA